TACAGTATGCAATAAATAACAGTAATAACAGCGCCCTCAGTCTCGCTCAGTTGGCTTTTCTGCATCTGAAAAATATGAAATAAAAATTAATAACTATTGAACTGTTCATACCCTTAAAACGGGGATATTTATCACCTTTACACTGATTTGGATATTAAATGACTAAGTCAGATAACTAACAAAAATGAGAAAGTAGGTATGTCACAATTAAGACAAAAAACATCATTGAACTTGGCACAACATCCGATCGTTGAGCACAACATTCGATGGTTGGCAACTATTTTTTTTTTAAATAATCTACTAAGGTTATTTAAATTAGTTATCTAAAGGTAAATTATTCAGAAACAATAATAAATGTACTTACCACTAATAGAAGTTATTATTAAAATTTTCTTTAACGCATCGGTACTTATAATATAATAATGAGGTGTACCATACTTTGTTTTGTGAACATGGGGAACGGCTACTGCTGTCTGGCCATTTATGATCGACGTCAGAAAACGTTGGCCAATAGCAGAATTCTGTTTTATTCACATGACTTAAAATTTCTACAATATTATAGAATATTTTTGAACAAAATTGAATTTTTTTTATAAGAAGGGATGTATCCCCACTCGACCATTCACTGTTGGGTTCTAATTAACAGTGCTGTTCCTAAAGTGGCGCTGGGAAACAGTAACAACGCCTACACAGAACACGAGGCGAAATAACCTTAGCAGTTGAAGCCGATGACAAACCAAAAAAAAAAAAAAGGATGTAGAGTATTACTATTTTTTGTAGAGAAAATTACTATTTATTGTAGAGATAATTATTAATATTTGTACAAATTTTTACAGAAGTTAGTAGTAGTAATTACGATAATTGTAATAAATTTCTACTTCTACAAACAATAGTAAAATATACTAAACATTGTGGTCTTCTTTCCTATTGTTGTAGAATTTTATTCGACAATTCAATTGCTACAATAATGAATATTTTTTAACTATAAATTGTAGTAAAATTTTCTACAAAAAGTTAAGTATTTTTCTACAAGTCTACTACTACATTGTAGTAAAATTTTCTAGTCACATTTTTTTCTGTCTAGGAATGATCACAGAAAAAATTCCACGCGATGAAAAATGTTGGGAATCGATCGAACCAAAGTTGTATGTGGCAAAGGTATACATTTAGTTTTTTCTCTAAACATTTATAGAGGTGCTGCAATAGGTTGTACAAAATAACCTGTAATTACTAGATAGGAAAGTCATGTGTTGGACACATCAGATTTTTTATAGTTAATGTTTGTATCAAATTTGAAAACCACAGTATTTTTGAATAGAGAATTATTTAAATGAGATATTACAAGTCCCAACTTTACATTTACAAATTTGGTTGCGACTCTCACTCGAACGGGATTGAAGGTAGAGGTAAAATTTTCACGTTGTAGGATGTCATTTTATAATCTAAAATTAATGTGTTATGCGATTTTTATAAATATGTACAGTAATTAAGCTGCTGAGTTTATTCCATTTGGCTGACACACTCTGTATATCATTTTGACAATGTATAGAAGTGCATAATATATACCAAATGGTATACAAATATTAAAACAAGTATTAGAAATTAAAAATTTAAAAAAACCGACTTCAAAAACGTGCAGATGCCATCACCACATCTTAACCAAATTTATATGGGACCACCCTTGAGGTACCCCTTTACTAACAAAAAAAGAATCATATAAATCGAACAAGGTGGTAGAGCATTATCGCTAAACATACAAAAAAATGAAGAGTTTGAGGATTTTCTCATGGACCCAATTATTGGATTTAGACCAAATTTATAGGGGACCACCCCTGAAGTACCCCCTTTCTAACAAAAAAAGAATCATTGAAATCAGACACCGTATTAAAGAATTATTGCTGAACATACATAAAAAAAAATATCGCGACGAATTGATAACCTCCTCCTTTTTTGAAGTCGGTTAATAAAGATAATTTCACAATATATGGTTTTGCCATCTGACCACATAATTGAGCTCCGATGCTTGAGATTTAGTTATAGGGGGTGACAATTTCAAAGCTTGCAATGGCTATATCTCGTGACTTAAAGATGATATCAGAAAATGCATTAAAAGAAGGTCCTTCCACCACCAATGTTAAATAAAAAATATTAGATTATGACTAAAATTAATTTTTTTCTAATAGTAGAAGTCCTTATTTATCTAATAGTGAACTTTTAACTATACCTTACCGTACAAATTTTTGAGAATTTTTTTTTTAAAATGTGTGTATTTGTACAGTGTCTTACGAGAAAGTAAGACTTCAACAACAATTTTCGAATTATAATTAATTTTACTATCATTTATTGATTAGATGGAGTAGAAAAAAACTAAAAATAAGGTTTTTGAAATATTTAGATTTTGTTTTTTACAATAAAATATATAGGTTACCGTGGAATTTATTGAGAAATTAATATTAAAAAATCCCAAAAAATTTTCAACTAGGTTACTTCAAATTTTTTTTTAATATTAATTTCTCAATAAATTCCAAAGTAACCTATATATTTTATTGTAAAAAACAAAACCCATATATATTTCAAAAACCCCATTTTTAGTTTTTTTCTACTCCATCTAATCAATAAATAATAATATATTTCGAGAATTGTTGTTGAGGTCTTATTTTCTCATAAGACACTGTACAAATACTCACATTTAAAAAAAAATTTCAAAAATTTGCACGGTAAGGTATAGTTAAAAGTTGAACATTAGATAAATAAGGACTTCAACTATTAGAAAAAAAATAAATTTTAGTCATAATCTAATATTTTTTATTTAACATTGGTGGCGATAGGGGTGGCGAAAGAACCTCCCTAGAATACGTATTGGGAACCTAAATGATAAAATAGTATTATTATTGTTTTATATTTCTCCATACAGGAGAAAGAAATGCTAATTACTCTCAAGTAAGAATGATCGAAATCAAAAATATGAAACATTGAAATTTGAGTTATCTTTTGAATTCATATAATTTTTTAAATAATATGTTATCGAAATTATAAATCTAAATCACGTGTTGTTGTTTCTTATTTATCAATTTAGTCATTTATGTACTTATTGTACCCCCATATATTTCAAGTAGTTCTCTTAGGTATAAATTGACATCAGCATATTCGATAGTTATCATTTAAAAATGAAAATCTGTGCAGTATTATTCTTAGCCTCAGTGGCCACGTTGGCTTTACAGGTATGTCTTACATAAAGTTGATTTTAGAATAGTAATTTGTGTAATTTGTGCATAAAGATAAGTTTGAGCTCGATGCTGTTGAATCCTCTGAGTGCAATAAGGACAATCCACTCGAGTTGTACAGTATATTGTTTCTACGACCCACTAACAAAAATTTACAAATTTTAAAAATTAATTTAGGTTATTAAGATAAATTAACTGATTTAAAAATAATTTATTAATATTACTAATTTTTAAAACAAAAAAACCTTCAATTCTATATTTGAATCCAAGACCTTTTGCAGCTCAGTCTGCTGGCCTCGGCTTTTACGACACATCTACATTTTTAGTTTTATTACTCATAAATTGATTTTATATAGTTTTAATAAAATATATAATTGTTTTTCTTAAAACATAGACGAATATCTTGTGAAATGCTCTTATTTATCGATTCTTCAGAAAAGCTAATGTCTATGTGGGCGTAGAAAAATATATTCAATTTGTTTTTCTAATTTTGACATATGAAGCAATCTTTTTTAATCGAAGCTAGTGAGTTCATTGTGTCATCAGTTGACGCTAATAGAAATCAATATAAAGTTGGCAACAAATGGTAAATTTATTTACTGTTTAGCAAAAAATATTATTCTTCATAAAAAGTTCTGCACCACATATAAATCCATAATCCAGAATCATAATCAGATTTGTGAAATATATATTGATAATACTAAGCAAATAAAAATATTAATTTACTATGAAGGGAAAAGTGCTTTTAATATTAACTAAAAATCAAAATGTTATTTAAAAATGTTGATAGTAACTAAAAAATATAGATTCACATGCATTTACTAATTAATTAATACATTTAAATTAAAAAAATCTAATTTTCCTTGTATAAGATTTTACGAGTCTGACTGTTGATTATGTGATGCAGAACTTTTTATAAATAATAAATAAATTTCCCATTTCTTGCCTACTTTTTCAGTCAGTATGCGGCAATATAAAAATAGATTTTGCCAGTGAACTTATAATTAGTAATTATTCTGGTTCAATTGTTATTTTAAACTCTCTTGATCTTTTACGATACTAAGATTCATGTATGCAAAATAACCCACTTTATTGAAAACTATCAAACTCTGGCAACAAAATTTCGGTGAAAAATATTTTTAAAATATCCGATTGCTATTATTTTCAAATATTGATTTCTAAAATCATCGATTGGTGATACAAAAAATGAATTAATTTTTAGTAATTCTTTTACAAAACCTATTAGTATATACATAATTTACTCAAAATTAGAAAAATGTATGTAACAAGTTGCGAAATGCTATTTTGTGAGACCTCGCTCCGCTCGTCCCGCATATATTCACATATTGCACAAAATAAGACATTTCGTAACTAAATACATAACTAAATACTATTGTAGGTTCAGCAATAATCGAAAACAACTCGATAAAATAATCAAATAATATATGGAAGATATTGCGCTAACTGCAAGCAATATGGTTTACTGCACACATGTATTAAGTAACATTTTGATAATATTTTACAATTTAAGTTTGAAACTACAGCTATCTGTTATTTTACATGAAATGTATCAATCAAACACGTCCTCGTTGTTTCTGATCACATAATAAAGCAAAATAACGAAGTTATTTGTACACATATAAGGGGTACATGATAGTATATTTAAAACAATTTGTCTCAAAATTGTCCTTAACACATGTAAGTGCTAAACGATCAACATCATTTGCGGTCTTGGTGTACTGCTGACTTAGATTCAATTATTACCGAACCTACAAATTAATAACAATATATTTTTTCAATATTTATTTAAAAATGGACGGCAAATAAATATTAATTACCTAATATTTTCTTTTAACAGCCTACAAGTTCGGTGGCTGACCCTACAAGTCACCCTACTCACCCAAGTCACAATACTCACCCAAGTCACCATACTCACCCTAGCCACAATACGCATCCTAGTCACCATACTCACCCAAGTCACAATACTCACCCTAGTCACCATACTCACCCTAGCCACAATACGCATCCTAGTCACCATACTCATCCTAGTCACAATACGCATCCTAGTCACCATACTCACCCAAGTCACAATACTCACCCTAGTCACCATACTCACCCTAGCCACAATACGCATCCTAGTCACCATACTCATCCTAGTCACAATACTCATCCTAGTCACCATACTCACCCTACTCACACCCCTACTCACCCTAGTCATCCTCCTACTGGCTCTACTGTTTCTCCTCAACCATAACCACATCAATAGCCAGAACTGGAACGTCAGCCAGAACTGGAACGTCAGCCAGAACTGGAACGTCAGCCAAAACTACAACCAGGACCAACGCCATTATTTTAAAGATATCAACCTCAACCAAAATTACACCAAGCTTCTTCTTTAGATGCACATGCATGACCAAGTAACGTCCGTATTGTTGAATTACTGTTAGTACTTTCTCCGAAGCCGTACGGGATGCCTCATCCAAAGCCTAAGTTACATCCACATACCAGCAGCAAGATTACTTTATTAACCAACATTTCTTGGAAATAATTTATAAATTTAAATAAAAGGTTTACTGGTCAATCAAAATTTTCTTTTATTTCTTATCGTATTAATTTGTATGGTTCTTTCACATTTTCAGGATTTTTTGGGTTTTCCTAAAATATAATAACCACAATTATTTAAGTGAATTCATAAAAATTGTTCAATGTGACTCCATTTTCTAGAATGCACAGATTGATCCTTCGCAAAAAAGTTATCTGCATGTCCTGAAATATAAGTTATTTCGAGGACGTCTACAATTCATTTTGAATGATTTAATCTTCTTGCAAATGTCAGATCATTCGGAATGTAACGATTACTCTCATGCTTCTCCGATAATTAGTTTCATTAAATTCCAGAACCAACAACATATAAGTGTTTTCACCATAAAAATACGTTGCAGCCATTATCGTTGATAAACTGAACCAGGCGCCAAGGGGATATCCACAAGGAGGGGTACTATCAGATCTACTGTGGAACATGGCCTTCGACACCTTCACCAGCTGCCCTAATAATAACAGTGACTACACCATAGCGTATCCAGATGACCTGTTTATTTTGAAAACATGGAATTTTGAGAACATACTTTGCGAAAGAATGCAAGTAGCTCTTAAAATTATAATACAGGGGTGATAGAACCATTCACTGTCTATCAATTCCAAGAAAACTAAAATGGTTCTTTTCACAAGAAAAGGATGAAAATAGAACTAGAACATTTAGATCCCGTAAAAATAAAACTAGGCTTTGCAACAGAGGTTTAGTAACTAGGTATCACCTTTGACAGCAAGTAAACATGGAACCCATACCTATAAAACACATATAAAACGGAGTCATACCTTGCTTATGAAAAATGCCACGGAATCGTGCGGCGCACCTGGGGTGTCGCTCACATAGACTTACACAACTATCGTAAGAATTATGGTGCAGTTGTCTGGGTATCGAAAATCTAAAAAATGACAGCTACTCACAAACTAGAACAAATTCAAGAACATGTCTCAATATAACAAGGGCCATGAAGAACCACACCAACCAGAGCCATGGAGGTCATTTTTCGTCTCATTTCTCTTGATATTTACATCAAGGAAGTTATTATTATGATAATGATACAACTCCGCACGAATGTTAGATCTAGTGAGGCGCGACGTAGCTTTTGGCGAGGTGCGCTCGATATGGATTCACTGCTTGTCCCATACCTAAATGAAAATAAAATTAAAATAAACGCTTCTAAAACCGAAAGTATATTACTAACAAAGAAAAAATTATATCCAATAATAACCAGTCTAAAAGTATAAAATCAAACAATAAAAGTAACTAAGAAATTGAAATATTTAGGATTTATATTGGATAAGGGGCTAACGTTCAAAGATCATATACATGACAGATATGCGAAAACTATGGGAGCATTTAAATCACTGTATCCCATGCTCCACAGAAGAAGCGGGGTTACTGTGAAAAATAAAATACTATTATATAAACAAGTACTTCGGCCAATATTAACTTATGGATGTCCAGTCTACTGTTCTATGTCGAAAAACTCACTACAATGAACTCCAAATCATGCAAAACAAGTGTCTGAGGCTGGCATTGGGATACGACCGCTATGCCAGGATAAACGACATGCATGTACAAGCATCCATTGAACCTATTAAACAGCACATTATTAAACTATCAAATAACTTCTACAATCATTGTCTCCCTAACTCAGTGTTAGAGGACATTCTTACACTATATGAAGGGGATGGTGCAAACAGGAGACATGGATGTTTGCACAGTGCATTGACAATATACACACGAGACAGATAGACGGGAAATCAACGTACATCCCTCCTTAACAACAAGACAACACTGAATAATCAAATCACAAAACTGACTTCTTGACAAAAGTAGTCGGAAGGACGACCGCACGGTGACGTCATCGTCCAGTTGCAGGAGCTTTGGCTTGCCTAGGTACCTGTTCTGGACGGGGAAATCACTGTGTAGTCAAGTGATTTGATTAAACATGCACGTAAACAACCACCCGACGTACACACATACAAGGACAACCCTGTTTTTTCAGAACAGTTTTTCAGGGAACTTAAACATAATTAAAATCAGACAAAAACTTCAACACTTATAAATTATTGTCTTGTTAGCCCCTCTAAATTGACATATAATGCTATACCAGCAAGGAGATGTCATTTAAATCCTTATTTTAACAAATTATAATTGATGCATAAGGCCGTAACATCGGTACTGGCCTCGCAAGGGGTCAAAAGGAACACTTCGGCACTCCGTAAGCGCGAAGAAATCCTTATTTAATGTACATATTATAATTTGAATTGTAAATAGATTTTAATGTAAATAAAAGACTTTTGAAATGAATGAAATGAATGGATTCACTGCTTCAAGCAAGCATGGACTTCCATCTCACCGAAATATAGTTATAATGGATAGAAGAGCCAGAAGTGTTTCTTATTACCAATAAAATTTTTACTGTGGTAGGAATATTTTAGAGCCAAAACCCGATAAGCAAATGGGAATAACCCGTAACTATTGCAAGAAATAAAATTCTATAGAAAGTGTTACGCGTTAAAGAAAATGCATTTTTTTTTTCTTTATTTTCATTTTAATAATATTTAAAATGTTGATGAATATTCAAAATGTTTCATTGCGTGATTATATACAGAAGAATTTTTATTCTTTATCTTTTTTAAATAAAATTTGATTTTTAGTTTTGAAAATATTGTCTATGGAAACGATAATGATGTTCTTCCCATTTAGACCATTAACAAAAGAGTAACCTTTATGTCCGTGTATCAAAATACCGGATGTAAAAAAGAGGTAGGTAATAAATTATTTCAGATATTCTGAAGACAGTGTCAGTCATACGGGAGGCAGAACTAAGTGGGTCTATGCCGAATTGAAAAAATAGAACCAACAAAATTCAGTTACAAGTATAAATTTAAAAAATAATACGACTCAAACACGGTGAGAGGCTTTAACCTCGGTGGTACAGTGCATATATTTAAACAAATAAAACTGGCCAAATTATTCTTAAGAAAAACAAGTATTTTGCAATTTTTCAAAAAAAATCAATTAAACCTGCAGTGAGAAGACTCTTTGTTGGTAGGTAACAGATAATGGGTAACAGGTAATAGGTAACATATAACTAGTACCTAACAGGTAATATTGTGATATCGATTTGAAATTAATACACAACTCAAACAAATAGGGCAAGGGCGTGACCTCCGAGCCGAACTCGGACCACATTTTGTTTATACCCTGAAATAATTTAAAATATTAGCATGTCTGGAGCGAGCTATAGTTTTGCTCTTGTAGAAAACATCAGATCAATGTTAAAAGTGTGAAAATATGGAACTGAAATTAAAGGCTTGTGGTAAGATTTAAGAATATTTTTCTGCAATTATCATTTACAATTATTAAATTAATTTGTGGAAAATCACTTTTCACACAAGTGATGTACAATATTTTTCCTGCGACCATAAAATAATTTCATCAAAAAAAAAAATAAAAAAAAAAAATTCTGGCCCCGTAGGATTTGAACGCGGTCGCTCGCTAGGTCTCAAATGGCAAAGTTGATAAGTCTGACACGCTAACCATCTGAGCTAATAGGCCTTGCATCAATGGAATGATCTAATTGGTAATGTGTTTAACCAAAATAAAAAGCAAATATATCTTAGTTATTTTAATAATAATTGTCAAAGATAAATATCTGGGATCTAATTTACAACAATTTCAATAATTTTACAATCATATCGATTTTAGTATTAATATGGACATTACATAGATCAAAATAGAAATGATGTGTTTGATATTTTGTGACAGCTGCTGCGGAAAGTAGCATATTCATACACGGGTGGAAAGTAAATTCTTATTCATACGCGTGTGATATAGGGCACTTTCCATAGGACTATATAGTGTGATATGTGTCACTTTCCTAAGTGGTCGTAAGAAAAAAATGGTTTTTACAAGCATGAAACACAACCACGATAAAAAAATTAAAAGGCTTTACAAAAGATCATTAAATTATTGAAAAAAGGATTAAAAATAATTTTAAAGAAGTAAATAAGGTCATTTGACTTAAGAATAAATTTCTAAAGCATTCAAGATAACATAAAAGGTGTTTTTACCTCAGAAATACTTTTGGCAGGAATTTCAACTTTACCAAAATGTGCTGCCAAAATAAATCTAAGATGGTCTTTTGGATGATGTTTTGCAAGTGATGGACATTCCTGAATTTACGAAGACAGAACTGCAGATAATAACAGTATTGTTATTTAATGAAATAAGTTTGTTCAATGTACAAATTTGACCCGAAGGAAGTGGTTGGTTGGTCTCCATAGCTATACATTTTATTTAAATGCTTCGAGTATGTAATGTTAAATGCCTTCTGTGTATTTTATGTGTAATTATTTTAACAGTATTTTTATTATCAACTGATTTAGTCTTTCAGATATTTAAAATATTTAAAAACTTACTAATCAAATAAACATCTTAGCTTCGTTCGCAGTAAAAATCCTGAACTGAATTATTACTAATAGTAACGATTTCGCAGGCTCAGTAGTTAAGAAGCGTTCGCGGAAGAAAATAACTGAACTGTTGGTTATATCCTGCATTCGCGGTAAAATTATCATTGATTTTGAATGTGTATCGCTTGTTTCA